AGGGGAATAGCTGGGTCAAATGGGACCTTTAGTCCTAGTACTTTGAGGTATCTCCATACTGTTTGCCACGGTGGGTGCACCATTCTGCATTCCCACGAGCAATGGAGAAGGGTTCCTTTCTCCCCATAACCCCACCAGCATTTGTTATTGGTTGATTTCTTGATAGCAGACATTCTTTCAGGGGTGAGGTGGAATTTCAGTGTTGTTTTCATCTGCATCTCTCAAATGACCAGTGATGTTGAACATTTTTTCAAATGTTTATTTGCTGCTTTTACTTTTTTGTTTGAGAAATGTCTGTTCATTTCAGATGCCCATTTTTGAATTGGGTCTTTGAATTTAGGGGGTCTGATTTTTTTCAGTTCATTATATATTCTAGATAATAGTCCTTTGTCTGAGGTACAGCTGCTAACAATTTTTTCCCACATTCTAGGTTGTCTCTTAGCTCTATGGTGGTTTCTTTTGCAGTGCAGAAGCTTTTTAATAAGATGAGATACCAGTTGTTGATTGTTTGTGCTAGTTCCTGTGCTACTGAGGTTCTGTTCATAAAGTCTTTTCCTATGCCAATGTCTTCAAGAGTTCTACCTAACTTATCTTCCAGCAACTTTAGTGTTTCTGTTTTAATATTTAAATCTTTAATCCACTTTGATCTTAGTTTAGTGCATGGTGGTAGATATGGGTCTAGTTTTAATCTTTGGCAGGTTGAAATTCAGTTTTTCCAACTCCATTTATTAAATAGGCTATCTTTCCTCCAATGAGGGTGGTTGGCTCCTTTGTCCAAGATGAGGTGGCTGAGTATGTCTGGAATTGTTTCTGCATCTTCTAATCTATTCCACTGATCCTCGGGACTGTTTCTTTGCCAGTACCATGCTGTTTTTATCACAGTAGCTTTGTAGTATAGTATCAAGTTGGCAATTGTGATACCCCCTGCCATGTCTCTGTTGTCTAGGCTTTTTAAAATTTTCATTTTTTATGAAGTCTCATAAAAGCTGGCCGTGAACTTGCTGTGGAACACAGGCTGGCCTCAAACTCAATATCCCCTGCCTCAGTGCCCCAAGTGCTGTGATTATAGGTGTATGACACCATGCCCTGTGTGTCTTTTCTAGAATCATATATGAATGAATGTAGTTGGTTCAACTGACCACTGACACTTAATACAATGTGTTTGATTTTCATCTACATTGCTGTATGTATTTATTTATTTGATTTGGGGGTTACTGCGACTTGAACCCAGAGCCACACAAGTTCTAGACAAGCACTTGACCACTGAGCTACATCCTCTGCCCTGCTAATTGTATTTATATTTCTTTTTCCAGTTTTCCTCTCCCTAGGGTCAGGAATAGGTATTTAAATACACTTTATTTCAGGCCAGGGATTTAGC